AAGCTCTGTTCTTAAGCAATGACACAATGCTGGGATGAACCACTGGATTGCATTTTTCTTTCTTGCTGATGAAGTTGGAGGTGTCGAAAATATTGGAGCTTCCACAAGGAGGAGCGTACAACTTTCTCAAAAGAATAAAAAGAATCAAAGATTGAACTTGGGACACTAATACTTTGAATTGAGTTATTTAAAGACGTCAAAATTAATGATAAACATGTTCTCTTGGGATGTCCAGAAGGATTATTTGATAGATGTTAAATTTTTGGGTTGATGGATTGTAAAGATAGATTATGACTGCTTTTGGTGATGTGTAATTTTTTATACCAAGTTATAGGCTGAATAAGTATATTGGTATGTAGCACCATTTGTCGGGGTTAACAATATTGGCAAACATTTTGCTTTGGGGTGGCCTTCTTATCTGAAGAGACAATTGAATATTTACGTGGGTGTTTACCTTTTGTTCGAATGATGGGTGAATAAACCAGCGCAAACAATATGATACAGATCAAGATCGGCAATGGTAGGCCATAAGAAGTTGCACTACCTGCAAAGTCGCATAGTTGTGCCAAATGGCAATATCCGTAAGAAGGGCTTCATCAAAGTATCGTGCTACAACATACGCAACAACAAAGTCAAATGCCTCTTCAAATAAGTGTTTGAGCAGATGTGACTCTGAGGAGGAGTTGAAAATGCATGGGGTCTGAATTGATCATCACAAGGGAACCTCCAAGATCCAGTTTGGTTGGAGGATTTATGGATAAGGAAAACAAGTGGTACACAGCCTTCAAAATCAGGATTGTTTTAGCATGGATATTCTATCCACTACAATGTAGCGAGTCTATTAATAATGATGTGGTCATGGCATTTCTAAGCCCACAGTTCTAATAACTGGGATGCTTTCTGGGTTTAGAGAAGGTGATGAGGAAATTGCGGCCGGAATGAAACATGATGCTGATTTTTTTAGTGATCATTCGTGGTGAAAGTCCGTTTTTTAGGTCCTCTTTTAGGACGTAGGTATTTCTGATACCCGGGAGAGATAGACTTGTAGTCCAATCCTTGGGCAAATTTATTCGGCTGTTCGTGATGGTTGTGTGGTGGGGAGAGTTTCAAAGAGTATGGACCAAAATTCATATTTCATTGTTTTAAATTTATGATATATGGGTTATCAAGTTCCTTTGAGTGTTTCCATTCCCGTAAATAAACAATCTTTCATTACACATATTCCTGCATGATCTAAGAAGATGCCGGTCTTCTGGCCTAGGCAAATCATAATTGTGATTTTCAATAAATTTTTTCACCTTCCAATTTCCACCTTCGTCCACTGTAAACCTAATCATAGCTGGACAACCAGTTCAGGTATCCGATCTTCGATATTTCCTTTGGATATTAAGATCAGGCAACTTCTTGAAACAAGCTTTTGAAAAAACAAAGTCATTGGATTTTAAATTTATGGAATTAGGCCAGTAACTGTGATGATCCTTACGAACACTAAAACCAAGATTATATCCATACGATAAGCCTCGTATGCCTCTTTCTCATTAACATAAACATCCTGATAAATAAGCAATAAATGAATTATCGAATACGCAACCAATACGCAACTAATAAGCAGTAATTAAGCAAAGCAATACCCAACCAATACGCAACCAATACGCAATAAAATCTCAACATATGCTCAATTAATACGCAATGTATACCAATTCAATACGCACATAATACTCAATGTATATCAAACCGATAAACAATACATACGCAATTAATACGCAACAAAGCTTTGCAATAAGAAAATCGAACTACATATTCGTTATTATACCCTAGCTCAACAATACTATAAAAGAAGGGAACATCGAGTCTTGCTTCTAAAATCAATTACAATTTAACATTATGTACATTGTTGATAATAATTACATTAAGAAGGGAACATCTAAAATATTTATACCCTAAAATAATTACATCAGAAAAATGACTATGTAAAGAAATTTGATTGCAACATTGCTATAAAGAAAACTTGGAAGAAGTCGAAGTTTACCGATAAGCTGAACTTTTCGTCTTGTATCATTGGTTCTATGTGTTCTGCTTCATGTGCACTTATTTTCTGGACGTTGGCATTCTCCAGGTTATCGGCTTCCTCCGAGACCTGCGAAAATATTGTTTGCTCATAAAAACCTATATCCTCCTTCAGATCCAGATCAATCTCCATCTTCATCCGCATTTGTTCTGCGAAAATTTTGGGTGCTCTGCGAAAATTTGGGCTCTGCGAAAATTTGGGCTCTAAGCCTTAAATTCTGAAAAAATAAACGTCGAACTAAATTTAACGTTATCTCCCAGGTCGAGCTGAAAGACGGATCGGATTTAAGAGGTTTAGGCAAGTCAATTGACTTTTTAATCCTTTGCTCGTAAGCAACTGAACACATCTTTGAGATCGGATTCCACACAGAATAATTTCTGTAAGTCTGTGAGGGGCTGCGACGCCGACATTTTCCCGCTACCCGGCGGCGTGCAATGGGAAAAGTAGCAGCGTTACCAAAAATTCTTCTTACTTCTCTATGCCAACTCTAATCTTTAAAGCCTTCGAAGTGATGCCGCTACTGTCTCGCTCTCTACAATTTATCGGGACAGCCACATCCAACGGAACCTTCAAAGCTGCCATGTCTTCTTCCAGCTTTAATGTACGAGGCGTCGCCCGTTCTTGTTTACCAATCTCATGTTCTAACCCTTACTTAATCACTAAATCTTTTTGTTTTGTTGTTTTCTTCTTGTAGGCAAGGGGCCGAAATCACTGGCGCCGTGGATTCTGCGACCGAGCACCGGCACGAGGCTACGAAGGATTGATCAAAGTTGAAGCCTTCGTGAGCGGTGATTCGCATGTCAGTGACGTGAGGGCTGCCAACTACGGGCATCGCCAAGGCTACCCGCAGCAGCAGTTCTGGCCTTGGAAGCCATCACCGCCACCTTTTCGGGCGGGGCCACCCCCAAAGTCTGCCGATCACAGAAATTGGATTTTTGCTGCTTCACAGCCAACTCCGGACCAAGGTAAGTCCCCGTTTGCTGTTGAATATCCGTACGCTATATACAGATGGTCAGTTCTATTGATATTCAAGTCTGCGGATTTAGGGTTTGTTAAACGCTGAGATGGTGCTTACTCAGTAAAAGTGAAATAAGCAGAGACATAGAAATAGACTGGAGGCAGGATTTCGCTTGGTGCGTGTTATTTTAGCTGATATGGGATTATGCAGGATTTTGCAGTTGTTCATGCTGGTGAACTGTAGTAGGACTAGCGTGTGTGATGCTTCGTATAGGTGCATCCCTAGGGGGTAGGCGAAGCCACAAGACCCAAGGAATTGTGATTTTTGCCAATTTTTCTCTTAAGAAAGGTCGTGGTTAGTTGTTGTAGAAGAGCTAAGGGGTGGCATGAGGAGCTGATGATTAAGCCTAATTGCTTTAGTTTGTTGGTTATTGAGAACCACTTCCCAGGCGTCCGTTTAAACCTAGATATGGTTTTCGTGTGGAAGCAAATATGGTTAGGGTGTTGGGAGTCTCTGACACGTACACTTCTTCAATGAGATGCCCGTGAATAAATACATTGGACATGCCATGGAAAAGCCGAGTAATGGGCCAATCATTGAAAAGGGTGATGGTAAGGAGGACATGAATGGTATGTATTTTTGCGATTGGGTTGAAGATTTTGGTGCAACTTATATCTTCCTCTAACTTGAAACCTGATGCTATTAGTCTTGCCTTCTATCGAGCAATTGTGCCCTTTTGAGTGGTACTTGGTCCACTTGCATCTCAAAAGGCTTTAAGTTGGTGAAAAAGGAACAAGAATCCATTTACCTTTTTGCTGTAGAGCTTTAAATTCTTGGGACAGGGTTGTGCGCTAGTAATGTCCCCAAACGATAATAGAGTAGCAGGTTAGGTTTTTGGTTGTGGTGATGTTTGTGAGGCTAAGGACATCTTTTGACTTACAATGACCATAATTAAATGTGATTATCATGGGATGCCCCTCTAGATGAGTGATTGGGTGGAGTAGATATTGTGATAAGTTGAATGAGTGGTTCCAATGTTTAAAATTGCGTAGTCGGGTATTGAGGCGTTTTTTGTTCATGAAGCGAGGCGTAAGCCTCAAGGTTTTTGTGGTGTAAGCCTCAAAATCAAAAGATTGCGTAAACATAAAATGATAAATTTTTATATAGTAATGAGTAAATAATATATAAAAACATAAAAATGCACAAAATATGAGTTCACTCAACTAATCATCACTTCACCTTCATCATCTACAAACCACTCATCATCAGATACTACATCCTCGCAAAGCAAAGGATCTTCATCATCCATTAATCATTTTTTCTGCAAGTTCCTGTCTCTGAGTCTCCTATTGTACATAATGTATACCAGTGAATTCATCCTCAATGTTGACAAGTGATTTCTCCTCTTTGTATGTACTTGGTTGTAGGTACTCCAAAATTTTTCACAGCCAAATGAAGATCATGTCAAGCCCAAAACTTTCACAGTAAAATGCTACAATTCTGGAGTCCCATCATTAAATTGAATATACCACTCAACTAATATTTACATAAGAGAGTTTAATTAGTGTCAAAGAATAACTTTTAAATAAATGTTTAAAACATTAAATGAAATTACATGGAGATCGTTTGGCAATTGTATCCTTTGCTTGCTGTAATCCAAAAAAGTTTTATTTGTTCCTAAAATGTACCAATTGCATGTTAGTATTTGATCATTCAGTTGCATCACTTATTAGTTGATCCATGCAACGATACAATCCCAATTTTATTTCTGGATTTGTAGACTTATTCTCTGCATATTGATATTAAAGGTTTAGGTAATAGCCAACTGCATACAAGTGCCGGTAAAGCTTTAGCTCCCATCTATCATCAATAATATTCCAAATTTTCCTAAAGCTTCTCTCTTCGCCTCCTAAGTTGGACGCAATCATCTCTTTGACTTCATTCATAGCATTGTAGATGAAAACCATTGTAGGCTTCTTCTCAGCATCCACCATCTTTAAAACATTAACCAAAGGTTTAGTAGTTGTAATAGTAAACAAGATATTTTGCCAAAATATATAATTTAAAATAATCTTTCTAATCTCTTTTCTCCCAGCCTTCTTCGTCCAAGCACAACTCAACCACTGTGTAGATATGAACATAGCCTCTAAAAGTTGTATATCATTCGGCATACTCTCTATGGACAAGTACTCGATGACAAATCTTGTTGCTGTTGACCTTAAAATTTCTTTATTTGAAAATTTTCTTATAAGAGCTAGAACCCAAGAGTGGTTGTAAATAAATTTGGTTATTTTTTTTGCTTTAGTATGTGCATTCTTGTGTTGAGGTATCCCAAGCTTCTCAAGAATCAGATATTGGGTTTTTTTTTTAATTTTTTTTAAATAGCTTTAATATTTTCATTATAAGATTTTCTGAGTAGTCTATATATACTTTCACACTTTATACAAAATCAAGCGATAAATTTAAATTAGCTTTTTTAATTTTCTACTTATCTGTAGTATTTATAGTTAGACATGGAGACGGTGGGTGAGGGTCCTCGAACATTCAAATGTATAAGTTAAAGAGGTGTTGCATAGCGAGATTGAGCTTAGGAAAATGTAGTTGATAACTTTTCAATACAAAATAGATTTACTTTACTATTTGGACTTGGAAAATAATCATAATTGTGTCACTTTGAGCTAAAGTTAAAAGAGTAGCAGAGGAGGGGTGTCCAAACTGGTGGTGCCAAAGATCCTGAATCAATTTTGTGGGGATGTGGGCAAGGTTTGCTGATTGAATTTTGGATTTCCATGTCGGATGATTCCCTGGGTTAATTGAAGAAATTAGTTGTTAGGAGGAGAAGAACTGTTGGGTAGAAGCTTTGATACCGACTAAAAAGAAAATGAACTGAAAGCATAAAAATAGAGTAGATGCAAAGCTTAGACAATATGGTAGAAGAGAAAGCCGCACTTTAACTGTTTACCTCCAAATGCTACTCTCAAAGATTGGAGCTGACTCATTCAAAAGTGGTGAGATTGTTGTTGATCCAGTACAGCTCCATTTTAGTGGCAACCTCATTGTAGTTATTTTTGATCATTTGGCTGTTGAAGCTTTAGTAAATGTGGCATATTTCTATCACTGATCAAATATATTGTCAGAAGTGGCCACAACCAAATAACCATGCCCCTTGGCATGCTCTTGATGGGAGCAGCATGTTGATGGCTTTTGATCGCTATGGGGCTTGCTTTTTATAATGCAATATTTTCAAAGAGAGATTTGATCTTTTTGCATCCATTATGCTTTTGTTACTCCACCAAATTATTGAGCTATTCACCTCAAAATGCTACTCTTGAGGATAGACGTTGATCCATGCAATAGTAGTGGGATTGTTGTCGATCCACATGACAACTTTATTTTAGAGGCAACCTCATTGTAGTTATTTTTGATCATTTGACTATCAATACTTTGATCACCACCACCGTTGCACTCATGAGATCTACGGTTAAGACATGCCATATTTGTATCGCCAATCAAAGGCATTATCAGAAGTGGCCACAATCAGATAACTATGGTGTGTGATGAAGTATCATTGCTTGATGAAGGCCTAGTAGATTCCAATGGATGACAGGTTTAGGAGAATCTCTTATATATATTTGTCAACAATTAATATCACACTATGCTACAAGATTCTCCTAGGGCCATAGAACGTGGTGTGGCAAAATCTATTTTAAATAGTGTTAATCATTAAAAAGTTGACGTCAAGTAGTTGGGATGAGGCTAATGGCTGTGATGTAAAAAATCATGAATACTTCATTAATAATTTAGCACTATAAGAGATAGAATGTTCTAAATGCATATAAATACATGTCATATAAATATACTGTAAGATTGCTTTAGCATATAAAAATTTATATTGTCTAATAGTATAAAGAATATAACACCCTTAATTGTTGAGAATTTGAAAAATCTGTCCGGTGCATAACTTAGTTATAAACGACTTTGACTTTTTGATTATGAGTTAACAAATGCTTATTGCTATTATTTGTAATTTGTCAACCTACAATAAAACACTTGCATGCAAAATCTTTTTTCTGGCCTATTGAAGTATATTTAATTTACTTGCCTTAATTGGATAAAATTGCATATGCTCTAAAGTTATAACTAATTGATTGCAGATCTTGAAATTAAGTTGTAGCATTTTGAATATTTTGGTTAGAACTTCTACGTGTTGTCCCCTATATTTTCAAAAAAAATGTTATTTGAAAGTAACAAGATATTTTAAAAGGAAAAATTCTATTTGCTCTTGCTGATTTTATGATATGTATTGTTTATCTTGCCTTGGTATGAAAGCTTTAAATGAAGCTAATCCAGTGCTTATTTCGTCTTAGGAATGGTTTTATATTTCAATGAAAGGACTTTGCATTAAATCCTATTTTGCATGAGATTGTTACATTAGAAAATTTAAATGTGGATTTGTTCTATATTTTCATACAATGTTTGCTGATCTTCTGTTTCTCCCAACTATGATCATATTTTATAATTTTAATTTTATTCTATCAGAGAGGTTCAAAGTCTTATCATACAATATTCTTGCGGATTATCTTGCCTTAAACCATCAATCCGATCTGTACTCTCACATACCTAGTCACATATTGGCTTGGGAGTGGCGGAAAAGAAGGCTCTTTATAGAGTTTGGACTATGGTCTCCTGATATTATGTGCCTTCAGGTACTTCTACTTGCTTTTTATGCATACGGTTAGACAGATGGCTTTACATTTAGATATTGATTTTGGTTAAAAACTTGTTTAATAAAACTTCTTCTCTGCAGATTGAAATATCCGGGAAAATAACTACTCAGTAATGTAGATTTGTGTGCTGTATTAATCTATCTTCATCAATGAATTTAAAAGCTGTTGTCCTAGTATGCTAGTTTCACCTCGTAATAAATTAGAAGTAACATAAGGTAGTCAAATACAGACTTAAAGAAAATGAAGACTTTGTCATGTTTATTTTTATCCATAATGGAACGCATAATGTTAAGATTAGATGTCTGAATAATATTTATGAGGTGATTGTTTTGAACTTGCATCCATTATAACACAAAATATACTAAATTAGTATTTCTGCCCATTGGGCTCTAATTTATATGTTTCTTTATAATTATTGATTTAAAAGTTTTCCTGAAGGCATGCATTTTGTTGTTTATTCAGATAATTTTGTGTACTGTGATATCAGTAATTTATTCTGAAGTCTGTTTCTTAGGTATTCTAATGAACATTTGCACTCGTGCCATTCAAGAGATGCATATGTAGCTTATATTTATGTTTCATACATTTTTTATGTCCATGTCTTTTCACCTCCTTTACCAATCCTTTCAGGAGGTTGATCAATTCTGTGACTTGGAAGGGGAGCTGGCTATTCGTGGATATGCTGGCATCTGGAAGGTTGGATTTATTGTCACAAAAGCAAACAGTTTAACTTCTTAATGACTAAAGGGTGAATGCATCTCAGTACAAATATTCTTGGAAAATTTGTACCACTCTTCCCTGTTAGGCTTGTTGGAGTCAATTCCTTTTAGGTGAATTAGGCAATCTCAAGCATCAAAAGGATTTTCCAAAATTGTAAAATCACCTCTCGTTTAAGCTATTCAAACTCATTCATGTGATATATTTCGTATAGTTGCTATGATGCTTATATGAACATTTTATGCACAGTTCGTCTGTGTAAGTGTGACAAATAATATCTCCCCTTTAGTGTATTTTTTATGCTCTAGTTAGGACGTTTCTATAATGGTGTTGTTACTATTGTTGATGTGGTTAAAAATTTTGTCGAAAAATATTTACGGAAATTATATTATTACCAATGCAACTATGACCATGAATGATTCACAAAGCAGAACTTGTGAAACTAGTCGAGGACAAGGTTAATGATGATGATTTATAGGATGTTGTTATGGGTGTTCGTGAGAAAATGAAAATCTTTTTTGAGGTCAAACAAGCTTGTGACCATTTGCATCCTATTCTTTTTAATCTCTCATTCCCTATTTTAATTGTCCCATGACATTTTAGTACTACTGCCAGGAATCTTTTCCATTGAAAAAAGGAAAGCTAAAAGCGATTTTGGAAAATGAATGGTTGGGCGCATGGTTTTTCTAAAGTGAGTGTAAATTTTGCAATCTAATTATAAAACACAACTTCTCACTTTGTACATGTAAGGAAATCTGGAGAAATTTGCTCCATTGGTGTACATGATATAATCGAGTCATCATTGTTATCATTATTAGTGTTTTTATAAGTAAAGTCACTTTTGCCTAGGGCTGTTAATATTCGACACGACTCGAAATGACACGGAAGAATCCGTGTTTGGGTAGACCCGGGTAGTAAACGGGTTGTGTTCGGGTTAGAGAAACTGACCTGATTTGGGTTTCGGGTCATGTTCGGGTCAACCCGGAAACCCGAAGATGACCCGATTTCAACACGTAAAATTTGGCTCGGCCGCTCGAGTTCGCCGCTTCGCCCAATCGCCCGAATAAACTGAACCGTGGAATTAGGTTAATGGGTCAAGGCGTCATTGCGTATTTGCATCAAGCCTTAAATTATCCCATTCCGTCATTTCGGTTCGAAACTTCGAGTTCGCTCTATGTGCTAGAGACTGGAGAGTGGAGGCCCTTGCCCAGTTGCCCAAGTTTTCTGCCTTTCCTCTTCCTTCTCCGTGATTTAGCGGTTGTTGTTTGAACGATTTCGCAAGAATCGCAGGTGATGAATTCTGATTTTAAGTCTCCTTCCCTTGAATTCTCGTTCTCTCCCCATGTCGTCATATATCGAGAATCGGAATTTCTTTTTGATCTTTTGGATATAATGTTTTGATAGGATTATTGCTTGGTAAATGGCAAGATTTTTTCTCTTTATTATGAGTTTCTGTTTCTCATTTATGAAGCAGAAACCCTAGGTGATGCCGTGAAGATTTCGTGATTAGCAAACCCTAGAGTTGATTTATCACTTATTTCCTTTATTCTAAACTGATTTTCAAGATTTTATTTATGTTTGATTACATTATTAACAATATTTGAGTTTAACCGAAATCCCTTTCACCCTTTGTCGCTCTGTTCATGTTCGTCGTTAGTTCGTCGTCGTCGTCGTTATTGTAGTTGTGGTTGTGGATGTGGACTGATTTTTAATTGATTTGAGGCCTTTAGCTGTAGGCTGTAGCCGTGTGCAGGTGTGCTGTGCCTCTGTGGTCTTGGGGAGTTTGGACTTTGGAGTAACTTGTGGCCCTTTAGGCTGTAGCCTTGGGCTTTTAGCTTAAACATTTAAATGCTATTTAATATTAATGCTGTTATTGTCAATTTGACATAGTTTTTTATATATTGTTGTTGTTGGAGGGTGGAGCCATATACTACACTATTAGTAGGGCTGTATTAGTTTCTGTCTATGTGATTGAATAGTTGTTTATAATTTATATAATGTTGTTGTTGAATAGATGGAGAATTCTAACACAATGGTAGAAAGTACTCCATTCATTGAGAATGTGGAAGTAGGAAATGCTCCTCTTTCAGTTGACATTGAAAAAGACAATGATGATTTGTGTAATATTATTGAAAAAGAAGGAGATAACCCGTCATCCACTAAGAAAAGACGAAGAATGTGTTCAATGGTTTGAGGTTTTTATGAGATGTTACCCTTTCCTAGTGATGGCAAGCAGAGTTGTAAATGTAGAAGATGTGGGGCAATATATCAGTGTGATAGAAAGTATGACACTGGCAATTTAAGACGTCATATACAAAATTGTAAAAAAAGAGACACTCGTGATATTGGGCAACTTATTCTACAGTCAAATGCTACTTCAACTATCTCTATGACTGAATCTAAGTTTGACATTCATGAGTTTCGTGAGTTATTCACTTCTTGCATAATCATGCATGACCTTCCTTTTCAGTGTGTTGAATGGCTTGGTCTTCGTTCTTTGTTGCAATATCTCCGTTGTGATCTCCAAATAGTATCTAGAAACACTGCTAAAAGTGATTGCAAGAAAATGTTTATTAAAAAGAAATGCATTCTTAAAAAGGAGATTCTAAAAAGTAATAGTAGAGTTTCATTGACTTGTGACTTATGGACATCAATTAATACAGATGAGTTCATTTGCTTGATTGCACATTTCATTGATAACAACTGGTTGTTGCAAAAAAAATAATCAATTTTAGTTTATGCCACCACCACATGATGGTATTGCTTTGTGTGAGAAGCTTCACTATTTTTTAACTGAATGGAAAATTCAGAATAGAATATTCAGTAGAACTCTTGACAATGCTTCAGCTAACAATGTTTATGTTGAATTCTTAAGAAACCAATTAAATTTGCGTGGTGCATTATTTTTTAAAGGTGAGTTTTTTCACATAAGAGTGCTCTATGTTGTGAATCTTATCGTGCAAGAGGGATTGAAGGAGGTTGATATCTCTGTTCTTAACGTTAGAGAAAGTATAAAATATGTGAAAGGATCACAAGCTAGAATTTTTTTTTTGGAATGTGTCAAACAAAGTTTTCTTGATTCAAAGAAAGGATTAATACAAGATATGCCTACAAGGTGGAATTCGACATTCATTATGCTTGATTCAGCTATTTATTACAAACGTGCCTTCCAACATTTGGAACTACTTGACTCTAACTTCAAAACTTGTCCTAGTAATACTGAATGGGATAGGTTGGAGAGTATTTGCAAGTTTCTAGCTCCTTTTGATGAGATTACTTGTGCATTGTCAGGCACTAAGTACCTCACTTCAAATATGTTCTTCCCTTGTATATCTACGGCTTATGCAACACTTAAGCATGAACGGTCTTATGGTATTGAGTACATCCGAAATATTGCAACAAGGATGTTAGTAAAGTTTGAGAAGTACTAGTTTGATTTCTGTGATATCTTGGCAATAGCGGTTATCTTGGATCCTAAGTATAAGTTCACATTTGTTGAATGGTGTAATAAAAAATTATATGGAGGTGATTACATATCTGAAACAAAGAAGGTTAGGGATAAGCTATTTGCATTATTTTCAAACTATGAGAAGGTGGAACGACAAACCATCGATTACCTGTCTTTATTACCCTCAGTTAGCTCTCAAGTTGATAGCTCAATGACTTTTCCTCCAACAATTATAAAATCACAGTTTCTTCAGGTAATAGTATTTCTCATTCAGTTATTAAACATTACTATTTAGTAATTTTTCATTAGCTTACTTTTACATTTATGTTGGCATTCATAACTAGGATTATGACTCATTTGAAGAGGAAATTACTATGCCTAAGAAGTCACAACTTGAAATGTATCGTGAAGAACAAAAAATTGATAGGAAGGTTAAGTTAGACATATTACATTTTTGGAAAGGTAACCAATACAGGTTTCCTGAAGTGGCAGCTATGGCTAGAGATGTTTTATGCATTCCCATTTGTTTAGGCTAGAGATGCTATATGGATCAAGTGTTGGATTGTAAAAAAGTCTTTGATAACTAAATTGAACGTGACAAAAATGAGAATTTAAAGATCGTTGCGTTGCAAAATTAAGAGATGATTGTATTAGAGGAATAGTTGGAGTGATATGTATTGAAGATTCAGTTATTATAGATTTATATAGTTTTAGCCATGTAAATAAATGATAGAAAATACATCAATTATGCAAGTAGTTAAAATTTTTATATGGGAAGTAAGAAGAACACCCAAGATAACATGGATAAAAGTTGGTCAAAATGATTTGCAAGTAATATGTTTAACAGCTCAAAAAGCCTGCAACATGAACAATTTGAAAATAAGAATTCAGAAACCCCAAATAAATGTGATAAGGGTAATGATGTTGATGATAACTTATCTTTCTTAATGGAGAAAACTTGGCTCACCCATTTTTATCCCTAATGTTGAAATGGACTTTGGGTGTTTGTTGGCTAGTTACTAACTTTAGGATACTTAAATCTCCAAATTGGCTTACTACTAGAAGATATTTATAGACAAGTCCCACCTCCTTGCGTGAATTATCTTATTGATGTAGGCAGGGGGGATGGGTCAAATTATTTGGGGTTGTAATTTTAGTGAGCTCCTATGTCATCTACTAACATTCAGCTCATTAATGTTGAGCTCCTCCTTATTCAGCTCATTAATTTGCAATTTATTAGGCTCTCCCCCCTCTCTAATGGCCCTTCGGTTTTCCCCACTTTGCTGCTGTCCCGGTTCCCCTAGCTGTCCATCCCGGTTCCCCTGGCCACCCATTCCTTTCCCCTTGGCTATTTTTTCCGGTTTTCGATGTGGTTGTTCGGGTACTATTTCTGGACTGATTGTTGGCCTTCCATTTCCCTTTTTTAATTGGTTTAAATGGAGGTGATTATGGGCTGTTTGGTTGCCCCTTTTCTCCTATAAATATAAGGTGTTTTGTAATAAAAAGAGAGACTTTTGGTGATAATTTTTGGAGCAAAACCTGAGCGTTTTTAGGATAGTTTGCAAGCTATGCCTTGTCTCTTCATCTTCCTCTAGGAAAGCTTGCGAGCTTGTCCTCTTATTCGTCTCGGCTTTTTACCTCTTTCTTCTCTCCGCAAGTTCGACGCCACTTGTATCTTTCTTCTCAATGATTGCAAGCAAGCTAAGGACTTTTATTATATAAGTTTGTAAGTGTCATTTCAATTTATTAAAGTAATGTTTTGTTTTATAAAAGATATGTGTGTCTTTCTATTTAAAGTTGTACGATATGTTTTTATGAGATAAAAGAAGTATTTAGTATATGTTGTGGCCTCCAATTTGTTGTGGAGACTTAGTTTTGCTTTTATTTTGTTTCTTTTTGTGACCGGAGGTTCTTCTACTTGTTTGGGAACTTTTGGTTGCATCAATTTGGTATCAGAGCGAGGTTGTCGAGTGAGTCTTGGTGAGTCATAATAGTTGTTGTGTGAGCCCAGGGTAGTATTTCCTAGGTTTTTTCGTATTTTTTTCAAGTGTTTAGAAAAATGGAAAAATACAAAAATATTGAGCTAGTGGTGGGTGAAAGTCTGTCAGAAGATTTTGAAGAAAATATCCCTTTGGATAGATGGATTCCATCATAAGGAAGTTCAACCGATCCCCTACAGAATGAGTTATATAGACTTCAAATGAAAATGCAGTTGTGTACGGAACAATATATGAAGAAAAAGCGACTTCTACAAGAATAATTCAAGCAAGAACAAGAGTTGATTCTGAAGAAATATGAGGACAAGATTCGAGAATTGGATGCACTTCATTTGTCTCATTCGGATTCATCTAAAAAAACAACCTCATTAGGAGATGAGCTTTTTCAACCGGGGAAGAATATGATGTAGGCAGGGGGGGGGTCAAATCATTTGGGGTTGTAATTTTAGTGAGCTCCTATGTCCTCTACTAAAATTCAGCTCATTAATGTTGAGCTCCTTATTCAGCTCATTTTGCAATTTATTAGGTTCTCCCCCTCTCTAATGGCCCTTCGATTTTCCCCACTTGGCTTTCCCTCCCATGGCTAGTTCCTTCCCCCCTGGTTGCCTGTTCCGGTTCCCCTGGCTGCTGTTCCGGTTCCCCTGGCTGTCCGTCCCGGTTCCCCTGGCCACCCGTTCCTTCTCCCTTGGCTGTTTTTTTCTGTTTTCTGTGTGGCTGTTCGGGTGCTGTTTCTGGACTGATTGTTGGCCTTCCATTTCTCCTTTTTAATTGGTTTAAATGGAGGTGATTATGGGTTGTTTGGCTGCCCCTTTTCTCCTATAAATATAAGGTCCTTTGTAATAAAAAGAGAGACTTTTGGTGATAATTTTTGGAGCATAACATGAGAGTTTTTAGGATAGCTTGCGAGCTTGTCATCTCCTTCGACTTGGCTTCTTACCTCTTTCTTCTCTCCGCAAGTTCGACGCCACTTGTATCTTTCTTCTCAATGATTGCAAGTAAGTTAGGACTTTTATTATATAAGTTTGTAAGTGTCATTTCAATTTATCAAAGTAATGTTTTGTTTTATAAAAATTATGTTGTGTCTTCCTATTTAAAGTTGTATGTTATGTTTTTATGAGATAAAAGAAGTATTTAGTATATGTTGTGGTCTCCAATTTGTTGTGGAGACTTAGTTTAGCTTTTATTTCGTTTCTTTTTGTGACCGGAGGTTCTCCTACTTGTTTGGGAACTTTTGGTTGCATCACTTATGCTCTCCCATCTAGCGACCCTAATGATCATTTTCCAAATGTTTGAGAGCCCACATGATATCAATTGGGACTTGATAGGGGAACAGATCTTTGCCTCAATGTTCAAGGATTTACTATATGTATCTGATAATTCTTAATGATTTTCTTCATTGAGCCCTGGTGCAACTTGTAATTGTTGTTAACTGCTTTATTAGCTTGGCAGGAAGCTAAGCAACTCCATGCAGCACGCCTCAGCTGTCATTGAGGTTTCCTTACTAGAAGATTCTGATCATTGTGTCATTTTTTGAAGTAATGAGTATTTTTTTAATGATTTTCTTGATATTATTCATCTTAATTTGTAATTTTCTGCAGTCATTGCTGTTAATTTTCTCTCTTATTTTACATGAGTACTTTTGCTCTCAATTATTGACAAAACAATTTTAAAAAAAAAGTTGCTGCTTTCTGTTTTTCATGATGCAGATGCGCACTGGAAATGCGGTTGATGGCTGTGCAATTTTTTGGCGAACAAATAGGTGATATACTGGAGCTTTCTAGCAGCTATGAATTGCAATTTCCAGAAAAAAATTGTTTAGTATAGTTTATTATGGGGAGTAAATGGACCGTCTATGACATTTTAAACCAACTCAAGGTTAAGTTTTTAAACTTATTTCCGGTGGTTTGATTAGAAATTGAAAAAAGTATTCTTGATAGGATGCTATATCAAGTAGTCTTCATAAAAGTAGTTTAAATTTTAAGTAGATTTCAGCATTGTTTTATGCTGTCATAGTTTCATATTTGGCAGTTTTGTTTTTAGATTTGCATACCTAAACTGAATTCCTTTTTCTGTATCGTTAGTTATGGTTTAAACTCAGGAAAAGTCTATCAATTTATTATTCTTTCTAAATATACTATTTTTTTCCTAAAAGAAAAAAAATAAAATTATATATATATATATATATATATATATATATACTATAAGTAAACTATTTTGCAGAACATTGTGATGGTGACTGTCAAATTAATAGTTCAAGACATTTGCATTAGTTATGATGAGATTGTTGATTTTTTTTTTCTGCTTTATATGTTGTTGATGTAATTGAGGATAGACTAGTTATGTTCTTTACTTGTTTTCTTAGTTAAATTTTATTTAAATTATTAGTGTTAATTTGTTTAGCATCATTAATGTAATTGTTCCCAAGGGTTTTTAAATATTAAATGAATCTTATTGTCTTTTATGGATTAACGAAGTATTATTGGATATTTTGCCTCCTATTGCAACTTTTGTCTCCTCTTCTTGATGCGAACTCTGTTAAGGCCTTATTTCTCACCTTCATGAGTCCTCTTTTCTTGCAATGCTCTCTCACTTGGTATCGTTTCTCTTGATTCTCATCCTTTTTTTTTCCATTCATCCTCTCTTTTCTATCTATCCTATGTTGATTTCTCTCTCTATCGTCTCACTTTCTCTCTCTCATCTGTGTTTTATAATCATCCTTTCCATTATCTTCATCCTTTGTCTTCTATATCACTGTAGAAAAAAAATGTCATTCTCGAGTCTGATAAGCGATTGATGGGAATATTTCTTAGAACAGAGGAGTGAGAGTAAAGACATGCAATTGGATGACTTTCTTTTTTGTTATTCTCTTCATTAGATGAACAACCATAAAAAAGGGAATTCTAGGTTATTAGGGGTGTTAAAGATCTTCCCTTTTACAAATTTTTAGGTGTTTAGACGCCACTCTGGACGGCTCTTCTCTTTCCTAGAAGAGAGTACACATATAGTCAAAGATTTACTATATTTATTCAGAATTATTTATTACAATGACAGGTGCTGGTCTCTGCTTTAAGAGCTTATAATCTCCTAAATGAGCATGATTCGTTTTTGTTGATTGGTAGACACATCACTTGATTATTGGGGGAGAGCACAATTGCCTAGATCATGGATCTTGCTAGCCAGTTCATCATAAACTTGATCGATTAACATAGTTATTTTTTAAAAATCTAATTTTAATATTGATGAATAATATTATAATTAGTAAAAAAATTAAATTAAAAATTCTTATCGCATATGTCCGTATCCTATCTAAAATCCCTTCAAATCTTGTCCATTCCCATCCATCATCACTTGCGATTACGCTTCAAAAAACAAAATTTCCAAATAGGGCTTTTTACAAATTAATCCACATTACATAATATGAAAGGGCATAAATTCTTCCACAATCTCAATTACACTTTCTATCATTATCTTCTAACAAAATATGTGATTAAAGTCTTCTCAATTAAATAATTGCCTCATGGAATCTTCTCTTTTTTCAACAAATCTTTCCTTCAATGCAAATGGACTTCTTTCACTGTTTGATCTAAGCTTACTATAGTTAGATTATTCTTATACAATAATGCTTCTTCAATTAGGAGAATTATAAAATTTTTCTTCTTCAGTTTGAACAGAAATAAATGAAGAAGGAAATTTACTTATACTTTCTTACTAAGGAATTTTCCAAATCCCAACACTTCCTCTTTCCCCATCATATTTTCTTCTTTTCTGAAATCATATACTATTATTATCATTAACATAAATTTTATACTTTCTATTCTTCAAAATTCGAACGGGAAATAAATATGATTGAAATCACTTACGAAGGAAAAATTTCCAACACAAAATCCTCCTTTTTCTCTCAAGTTCTCTTCCTTTACCGTTAAAAGAGATGAATCCTTTTTTTATATCGCGAAGAAATTGTACACAAATGAAATTAAAAACAACATATCTTTCTTCTTCTTCCTCAGCCGTTTCTCTCGACTGAAACTTTCTCACACTCATTTACTTGTTCGGGAGGAATGAGTCGAAGATATGACTCATGAGGAGTTGTATGTTTTCTCTAGCGTATGTAATTCTTTGCTCAAAAACAAAAACCGGCATTTCCAGCCTCTTCCGAGCCCGCACGCAGTTTGTGTGGCCCACGGTTATTTCCACTCTGCTCTTTTACGCGCCTGCTGCGGGTTTTTTCCAGTTAAATTGGGTATTACAGATGCTATTTATGAAATGGCTCTCCTTGCCCCTAGGAAAACCAATATTTTGTTCCATGTGAGAGAGGAAAATGAGCTTCTTAACTCATCTTATATTTACTTTTGCCATCATTTCCTTCTTCTATTTCTATTTTAGTTTTTTATCTACAGGAGTATCTTAACCTACTGGAGTGTAAATGAGCCTCCTAACTATTCTCTTAACCTATTAGAGTGTAAATGAGCTTCCCAACTAGTCTCTGATATTTACCTATATTGACCTAGGTAGATGAAATTCATTAGAAATCTCAATCGACTTAGATTTAGTAAGAGTGCATCTATCTTGGGCAAGTTTCAAGAGTATGGACCAATTCATATTTCATGTTTTAATTTATGATATATTGGGTTATCAAAGTTCTTTTGAGTGTTTCCATTTCCTTAAATAAACAATCAATTTATATTTTGTTCTTTCTTGAGTTATCGGATTTGAAGAGTTTGATTAGATACTGGTAGGAAGTGGATGCACTTTTCACATAAATTAGCGGATGAAACACAAAAAATTGGGAAAAAATTCTCAAAATAATTTTTATTGAAAGAACTATAAAGAGAAAGGCAAGATATAATTGGATCTTCAATTGGAGAAGAAGACTGGCTCTCCCAAATCCTTAGCCGTCGGCTAGAGCCCAAATAACTTAAGAATAAACTAAATTCAATATACTCCAAAACATAATCCTGAAATCACCATATTGTTAGCCTTAAATAGCTCATTTTTTAAATAATTTCCTCTTAGATTTGAATTCAAATTAGATTTATTTTCCTAATTAATTCTCTCCCAATTGTACTTAAAACTTTCTTAAACAATCCCCCCTTAATTCCTCCTTTTCTCTAAATAATTCTTTCTTAGATTTTGAATTTAAATTAGATCTCTTGCCCTAAATAATTTCCTCTCAATTGTAATTAAAACATTTCTAAACAATTTCCCTTTGATTAAGAACATTCCTAAACAACTCCCTCTTGATTAGGAAATTTTTTAATTCGATCCCAATCAAATCTGCCGGTCCATCAATACTCCTCTCCCAAAGTGCCACCTTATCCTCAAGGTGGAACGAAGGAAACTGCTGCTGAAACACTTGACTAATAGCATTGAACTGAAAAATGGACTGACATTAGGTCGAATAATCCATACCTTTAGCATCTTCTTGATCAATCTCTCGATCTCATACTTCTGGATTAGAGGATAACAGTTGGACGAATAATGATATGTGAGACTACTACCTTCAAGATGATAACATGCTTGTGTTCTCGCTGAGGAGGCAACCCCGAATTGGCCGAAATACCTTTTGATATTGTTGTAGGAGTGTCTGAACCATGCATGGTGCTTCTATCTTCTCCCCATCTTCTTCGCTTTCCGAACTCTGCAGCTCCCCAAAAATCTCATTCCTTTACAATTTCTTCTCTTTGGAAGTGACTCCAAAATCACCTTCATGTCTTATGTCAATGTAACCGGTAATGTTGAGCTTATAGGAACTAGATTCTTCATAGTGAGGTCACTGAATTCTTGTTCACTTGAGATTGAGAAACTACATATACTTTGGAATCATGCCCCGGTATAAGCATGATTTTTTAAACAAAACTTTGCATCAGATTCAGCTACTCTAGCAAATTTGTTCATGGTTCGTTGACAGTTCTACTTGACAAGAATTGAATGTCGTTGATGTTGATAATGTCCTTTAACATGAAGATCCAACAGCTTCTTTATCATTCCTTCTTGGTTGGAAAATTTTTCCTCCATTGATGACATTCTGTCCTCAAACGCCGATTTGGGTTGGCTAACATTTACTTTAAGACACTCTTCCAAGGCACAACTTTCATTACTGCCATAGGTCCAAAAAGTGCTTTGATACGAGTTTAATAGGAAGTGGATGCACTTTTCACAAAAAAACAACGGATGAAACACAAAAAATTGGGAAAAATGCCCCAAAACAATTTTTATTGAAAGAACTATGAAACATGCAAGATATAATTGGATCTTCAATTAGAGAGGAAGATCCTGCCCTCCCAAATACCTAGCCGTCGGCTAGAGCCCATATAATCTAAGAATAAATTAAATTCAACAAACTCCAAAACTAATCCATAAATCACCCTATTGCTAGTCTTAAATAGGCTCCCATAATTCCCTCCCAAATCAGCCATCTCTTCTTAAATAATTCTCTCAGATTTGAATTGAAATTAGATTTATTTCCCTAATTAATTCTCTCTCAATTGTAATTAAAACTTTTCTAAATAAGCCCCCCCCCTTAATTCCTCCTTTTTTTTCCTTAAATAAATCCCTTTTAGATTTTGAATTCAAATTAAATCTCTTACCCTAAATAATTTCCTCTCAATTGTAATTAAACATTTCTAAATAATTCCCGTTTGATTAAGAACCTCTCTAAACAGCTCCCTCTTTATTAAGAAACTTTCTAATTCCCTCCCAATCAAATTGGTTGGTCCATCAGCCGCATTGTATTTGGGATTGAGGTGGTTTATCTTTAGA